GTATGTTCATAATTTTTCACAGTAAATTCCAAAACATATAGAAAAAACTAATAAGCCAATCCAAATGAGCTAGTATCTTTTGTATTGTAACTTGAAGCCCGGCTTAGAAGAGGCAGGTTTCTTAGATGGATCAACAATTATATATGTGTGGTCATACAGAAATTGCTTTCCTTTTAAGTGGAAATCATTAAAAAATAATAATAAAAACAAAAGACCTCAGGCTTAGAATCTGAGGACCCAAGTTGAACCTTGGCTCTCCCACTACCTCTGTGTGGTGTTGACTGAGATTGACATGGCTGCACTTGAGTTTCCTCATTTTTAAGACGGGCTGTTGTACAATCTGCCCTACCTGCCTACTTTGCTAGTCTCAAAACACAGGTCTGTGAAGTGCTTTGGAAATGTTGGTGAATAGTTTTAAGTTCTCTAAGTGTGCATTTAGTTTTGACTCCTTCTTTTTCTTTTTAGTAAGTAACTTAGCGCTTGTAAAGCCTGAAAAAACTAAAGCAGTAGAGAATTACCTCATACAGATGGCAAGATACGGGCAACTAAGTGGGAAGGTAAGCTTGGACTGTCTTGAGGCCATTTTACCTGTTGTTATTGACTTTATCAAAACGTATCTTCAAAAGGCCAGTTTCATCTTCTGGTTCAGAAGTTCTTGTTGACTACTTCAGTGAAGCAATTTATAAAGGAGAGAATACTTGTGTCTACCATAAATCCTAAAAGATAACTAATTGCCTTTTCTAAAATCCTCTGCTGCTTTCCTTTATGACGCTGCTATGGAACCTTGATGTGTGTGTGTGACCCAGGGACTATTAGGGTCAGCATCTAATTGCTTCTACGCTGGCAACAGGTTTGTCAATGATACCAAATAAAATACTACCCGTGTACGTAGAAGTTGAGCGTGTTTTGCAAAGGAGGAGGTGCTGAAATTCCTGGTTATTATGTGCGTGGCTGTGATGCCCTGATGAGCTCTGGTGAGCCTGACCTTCCTTCAAGATCCTTCCTTCAAGATGAGCCCCACCTGCACTGGAAGCTGGCTGTTGCCTCCATAGCCTGCGGGGATCAGGCCTGCGCTTGAACCCCTTACACTAAGAGCGTGTGCGGAAGAGACAATGACTGTTCATCTATTTTGAGTGACTTCTCTCCTTCATTTAAGCTCTTCAAGAGCAGAAGCTGTGTGTCTCCAACACAGGTGTAGGTGGTTGTCATTGTCTGTTAGTGGTGCTAAAGGTGTTCTTAAGTACTCTTAATGTAGAATTTTCCTGAGAGAGCTAATCGATGGATACCTTCCCCTCTCCTCAAATGAGGCTAGCAGAGCAAAATTGATTTGGAACTTAAACCAGTAGTTAGAACCTCCTGTCTTGCCTCTCCTTCCTTGCCTCTTGACCTCTGCCCCCATAAAGATGAAAACCATTCAATCTGCTAGGTATAAACTCTTTGTTTAAAAAAAGTACTGTTTTTCTTTCTGGTTATCCTAGGTATCAGAACAAGGTTTAATAGAAATCCTTGAAAAAGTAAGCCAACAAACAGAAAAGAAAACCACAGTTAAAGTAAGTTTCCCCAAATGCGCATGGCAAAAGAAAAAGATTTTAATGATAAGTGTTAAATATCCTGTATTTATCTACTGTATCAAAACATGTTTCAGCCCATAAACATTTTCCATTTGTAACAGGTGAAAATTTGGGGAGAAAGGCTGCACTTGTTGAGGGGTCTAATTATTAAGGCTCTTCTGTCCCCCCCCCCAATCGATACAAAACCCTAAATTGTTTCAAAGGTCTAATGTCTTGTAGTAGTAGACCTTGTTCTTGTCAGAAAGTCTGAGTTCTGCTTTATTAAACCTGTAGTGACACTCCTTTACTTTCCCCCCAGTTCAACAGAAGAAAAGTCATGGACTCTGATGAAGAGGATGATTATTGAGTTTAAGATGTTTAGAGACTGGAACTTAATGGAACAGTTCTAGGACAGATAACACTTGGTGGAAGTAAAGATCTGATTGTTTACTTTGTTTATTGTCTATATGCCTTTTAAAAAAAATAAACTTGTTATGCAAAATAAAACAATTTGGGCAAAGTTTTTTTTGTACCATAGCCGAATGAACAGATCTGCGTTTGGAATTTTTTCTTTCATACCAAAAGTTTATAAACGTGTAGCAGCATGAATATATTCTTTGTAACTGTGACATTAGTGTTAGGAAAGTGGCCTTTGCAGAAATAGACTCTGGCTTACTCTTCAGTAAGAAGGAAATAGCATCCAGTAACATGGTAGTTAAAACCCATGGATTGAGAGGAATCAACTTTTAATGTTTAACATCTAATATTTCCAAAATCTAGGTTCTGAAACCAGGTACACTATTCTTCCTATGTTTAAGGTAAGGAAATTCCTTGCTTTGGTTTCATTTATAACCTACTTTTCAAAGGCACTGAGACTATATTATCTTAACAAATATTACCCCAATCCAAGACAGTGGTACTTGCATTGCAGAAAATTACCAAAATAACTAGGAGACACTGATAGTAATACTGGAACGATAACCAACATGTTGGAAACAAAGTAAGTGCCTTCTAACTTTAGCAGTTAAACATTTTGGTAGAATTGTTGGAGTTCTTCACCGATAAAACTGCAGGTAATTTAAAGCACATGTCATCTATTGTGCTTTCCTCCCACTAGATTTTGAAACCTTTACTCATAAATTTACTTCTCAAGTGAGCTCTTCGGTGTAACCTTTTAGAGGCCTCAGCCCAGGAGTAAGTTCAGAACATTTAATATGAAGGGAATAGGATTGGTGACAGGAAAATAACAGGAAAAATGGTTTAGAATCCCAGTCTCTCCAATGAGCATACTGCTGATCTATATCTAAACTGTGTATTTGAGATGTTACTCATTTGGGGACTTGAAATTTGGAACTGTGGCCAAGAAAGTCCGTGTTGGAGCATCTAGCATTCCTGAATAAACAAACTAATGAGTAGAACTTTTAACATCAAAAATTTTTAAAAGGAACAGAATTAGAGTCAGATACAAGTTTTGCTCAGGGATTTTGGGGGGGGGGGAAGCACATTACCAATTTCTGAGTGGTCAAATGAAGTTTTAAGTGGGAAAGAATTGGAGAAAAACAAGTTTTAAAAAATAATTGAGGTAGTCACTTCAGACAGCTCACCCTGCTAATCGCAGAGTAGCTCAGGAAGAAGCTTCTCCCCTAAAATCGACCATCTCATTCAAGGTACTTACATCTCCAGAAGACACACCGCACTGGAAACTGCCAGTTCAGATGACAGCACCAAGCAGGCCGTGACCCCAGATCTGATAGTGCCAGCAAATCACCCTTCTTTCTCTGAACCTATTTCAACATTTGACAGTTCTACCAGTCGGGGCGACTGTTAGAATTAAATAGTTTTCAAAATTCTATCATACCACCCAAAAAATGAGGGGATATCAAATGCGTGTATTTGCAGTTTGGCTGACAAACTGCACAGGACACGATTTCTTAATTAGGAGGGCAGCACACCGCGACCTAGGTCAATGAGGTCGTTTTGTTTAATACTGTGGAAAAGGAGGAAAAATAAACCTGAATAAAGAAATTTGCAAAGCAACAGTGCTTATTTCCTGTTTGGGCTAAAAAGCTATATTGCATTCACTTCTGTTCTGGTTTTTTAAAAAATTAAAACCTTTTCCTGGGCATTGCACCTGCTAGCCTCAGTCAGTCCTAGGGAGGCGAATGGGTGAGGGTCTGCTCTGAATGATCCGGTTTACATATTTCAGTGAGAAGTGTGTATCCATCCAATGGGGGAAGATCTTTCCATACACAAAGCACACGTTTATAGCGGAGAGGAAGAGAAACACACATCTCTCCAGAGCAAAATACCAACTAAAGAAGTATACCATGACACGCTCAAGAATCATAGAGTTTACTGTTTTCTTTCCCATCATTTGGCACAGATCCAAGGCACATTAGAAAATTAGAAATCATAAATTACTTTGTAGAAAAATAATCAGTCCCTCCCTTCTATACATACACAAGTATTTCCAAGAACATGCACAAAACCATGTCCCTATTACAAAGTTATTTGAAAATGTACTCAGGACAAACCCATGTTTGCAGCTGTAGGCCAATTAGTAACATAAAAAAATAAGTATAATCTATAGAAATTTGTAAAAAGGAATAAATGGCAATAAATTCTAACCGAAAGTAACTCTGACCTGGTTTGTGCTGTAAGTTTTGAATCTGAATCAAAAGACTAAGGAAAGATGTGCCAAATCTCTCTAGCTCAGGAACCATCCGGCAGGTGTGACATCCAAGGTAGGTTTTTAACAGGAGGGGAGGTTTCGAGAGACACTGATACGGGTGCGTATGTGCGGTGATCAAACACCTGTACTTTGTTGGAAGAAAAATTACACCCAACCGTCCCCACATACATAGTGCAGAACAGGTCATAAATGTCCTTTTCACTAAATGCCACACTGGCACGGGGACATCTTTGGGCTCGAGTGCTGCTTTGCAAAGGAATATTTTCCAGGCCCTCTTTTCTCCAGGCCAGCGCGTCCCGTCCGCCCGGCCTCCACGGTGCCCTGGAGCCCACGCTGCTTCTCCGCAGCCTATCCCAGAGGGCAGGGTTCTTTAGCCGGTGGTTTGCTAATCTGTACACACGGCAGAGGTTAGCACCTTGCGGTGGGAGGACGGAACCCGGTGATGAAAGCCATCTCTGCAGCCAGGTGGCCTGCTGCTTCAGAAGAAGCCCACACCCGGTCTCGGGGATTGGGACACCACTGGAAACTGTGTGTATTCCCTTTCCAAAGTGCATTCATGAGCTCCGAAGAGGAGAGAGATGGTGGTGGTTTTCTTCGTTGCATTCTTTCCCTCGGCCACAGAAAAGCTTTCAGGAACTTTCTGCTTTACTCTCAAACCAAACGCAAAGTACAGGTCAGTTCTCAGCTGAGTTCCTGCTCGGCACCTTCTTGTTGAGGACTCACCTCCTGGCAGCCGACTTAACAACCGCTTACCGCTGTTAAGACTGGGAAGTAATAGTAGCCTCTCGGGGAGCAGCTGGGTCTCCGGCGGTCCCGGGGCTCTTGGCTGCGACCGTGTCCTCGACGGTGTGTCTGCGCAGCATCCGCCGGCTCGCAGGAACGCTTTGTTTCAGCCCGGGCCTCTCGGGCTGACTGCTGCTTCCTCTGCCCGCAGTCTCAGGTCCGCCCTGGTCTGGCGGGTTGTTCTGCTCCCGTGTAACCTTTTGCCTCCCTGGCTGAAGAAACGGTACAATTCAAGCAGTTCGTTCACACTGCGTGTAAAACAAGAACCACACAAGAACGGCGTCCTTGGGTGCTTCTGTGTGTCACCCGACGTGCTCGCTACTCTCTGGGCATATAACTTCAGCTCTGACATCCCTGTGGGACAGCACGGGTGCCACTGATACTCTCTGTGTGTCAGACGCAACGTCAGGGCTCTACCTGATCTCACAACTAATCTTTATAACAAGTACGCCCTGATGGCTACACCGTGCACGGCTGAGGCACAGGGTCAGCAAGTGGAAGCAACCTGCCTAAGTCCCCGTTGCTCACAGGGGAAGAGCTGGCACCCGACCGAACCCAAGCAGATTTCAGTTTGTGGGTTTCCCACGCAGCGGCGGGACGGTCCGGTCCGTCAGCAAGTCACGGAAGATTGCGTCGGAGGCCGAAATCAGCCAGGTTGACAAAAATCACTTCAGTTCTCTAAAGCAAAGACTTAGCGCCTGCGCAGACGTGCTTCGACAAGCCCGTGCCACCGCACGTGCTGGCAAGTGTACCCATCCGCAGTCATACTGCCAGGAGCAGGCAGGAAAGTCAGGTTTCTGGGAAGAGGCACCATTGCACCACCGCACCCAAAGCAGCCTCCCTTTTGTTTTTGTTTTTTTTTTAATTTTTTTTTTTTTAACGTTTATTCATTTTTGAGACAGAGAGAGACAGAGCATGAATGGGGGAAGGTCAGAGAGAGAGGGAGACACAGAATCTGAAACACAGCCTCCCTTTTGTAACTGAGTGAGTGAACAGGCTGTCGGAAGGCGGCCACACGCGGATCTGTCCACGTGAGCAGCTTCCGACCGTATTCGGAGAAGGCTTTTGTTGAACCCATCTGGACACAAACTTGGTTTCTTCCTGACATCGGTGATTCACACGCTAGTGAATCCTAGATGGCGTAACCCGAGCTATCTCACTGAGCACACACGCCACAAGCTGCAGGGGCTCTCCACGCCCACCCCTGTTCCCACTGTCCCCTCGCTCTCCTTTCTCAGTAAACGAAGTCTGTGCCCTTGGCTGTGCCGCTAACGAACTCATCTTAGTTGTTACTGACTCTTGAAAAGAAGGGGATCGTGACACGAGAAACGTGTTCACCACGGGTTCGTTTTGGAAAAGCCAGGCTTTAAGAATACGATGAGGGGCGCCTGGGTGGCTCAGTCGGTTAAGTGTCCGACTCTTGGTCTCGGCTCAGGTCATGATCTCACAGTTTGTGGGATCGAGCCCCCTGTCGGGCTCTGCACTGATGGTGTGGAGCCTGCTTTCGATTCTCCCTCTCCCCCTCTCTCTGCGCCTCCCCTGCTAGCTCTCTCTCAAAAATAATTAAAAACAAAAAAAGAAATATGATGATAAGCCAGCGTTTCATGACTCACCTCATGCAAACAGTCTTCAGTAAAATTAGGGACACTTCTCTCCCTGGCCATAATCTCCCTTGAAGTCCTTCCCCTGAAACCCAAACCAAAGTGACATCAGTGTTTGGGACAGTGGTGTCGAACACTCTGGTTGGCCACAAGGTGGCAGCATTTGACGAGCGCAGATTTTTCTGTAACCCATCAAAGGGGCACATACCTGGCTTTAGTTGTAAGTAAAAGTCGGGTCACAGCCCAGAAATCAACGCAAATTTTATACTCACTTAAACTGACCACCTGAGTGGACAAAGTAAAACTGTCTTGTAAAAGGTTCATCTGGTAGATCATACATTTTTGAGTTCCCTGTAGATAAAAAAGGATAAACATTTGAGAACTTCTGAAGTAGTTTTAAGGATTTTTAAAGTTGTAGCACAGATGCAACCTTTCAATTTTCTTAGTTTAACAAAATTGAGAAAATTACACACTGCATTTGCTTAAAGAGACATATTAGTAGCTATCTGTTTATTACCGGTAAGCCCCCACGGAAAAGAAGAAAGATGCATCCTTATTAACACACAGGACACTTTGTGAGACAGACTCAGGATTATCCAGACATGGAAATGGGTTTACTCACATTATTACACTACAAACTATACTGTAATTTTAAACAAGAATAGAGGGGCGCCTAGCTGGCTCAGTTAGTACAGCGAGTGATCTCAGGGCTGTGACTTTGAGCCCCATGTTGGGTACAGAAATTACTTTAAAAACAATAAAATCTGAGGCACGTGGGTGGCTCAGTCAGTTGAGCATCTGACTTCGTCTCAGGTCATGATTTCACAGTTTGTGGGTTTAAGTCCCGCATCAGGCTCTGTGCTGACAGCTCAGAGCCTGGAGCCTGCTTTGGATTCTGTGTCTCCCTCTCTCCCTGCCCCTCCCCGACTCATGCTCTGTCTCTGTCTCTCTGTCTCTCTCAAAAATAAACATTAAAAAAAATAATAAAATAAAATCTTTAAAAAAATAAAAGTAAAGAGTAGAACATGGGACCTACCTAGACCAAAACAACTGTAAAAAAATTACTTCAGCCCCACCCATGATTGGCAACTATTGTTCTAATTACCAATAAATTCTGTATACGTGCAAATTAAAAACAAACAAACAAAAAACCTTTAAAGTTAGCAGGAAACACAGCTCCAGAGGTCCAGGAAACGCTTTTAAAAAGGCCTGGATTGGGGTGCCTGGGTGGCTCAGTCGGTTGAGCGTCCGACTTCAACTCAGGTCACGATCTCGCGGTCCGTGAGTTCGAGCCCCACGTCGGGCTCTGGGCTGATGGCTCAGAGCCTGGAGCCTGCTTCCGATTCTGTGTCTCCCTCTCTCTCTGCCCCTCCCCCCTTCATGCTCTGTCTCTCTCTGTCTCAAAAATAAATAAACGTTAAAAAAAAAAATTAAAAAAAAAAAAAAAAAAAA